TCCTGGCACATTCCCTTGTGCAAAAAAAAATCTTATTCAGCAGTCAAGGTACCTGAAATTTCTCTATTTTGGCTGTCTTTCTCTGTTTTTCTTAATCTTAAGGGATCTCAGTTCTTTAAGAGCATGACTTGAAAATGGCAAGATGCTAATACCTACGGGGAGGGGGAATGACACCTAGTAACATCAAAAATATCAATATCTGACATTTTAGAGGAGAATATAACAAGTAGTTTGGACAAAGCTCTGAATCAGTGGCATATATAATAGGTGACTGGGAAGAGAAAGGAATAGGATGTCAGGATCATCAGAGATAGGAGGCAAAGAAGCTTTGGTAGACATGTGATAAAAGGAGAGAGATTCAGAGACAGAGAGAGACAGAAATAGAAAGAAACAGTGATAGAGAGACAGAGATAGAGAGAGACAAAGAGATAAACAGAGACAGTACCTCTGACTGATGTATGTGATTCCATCTTAAAGTTTCAGAGCTGATTGTTTTGAGTGTGAGAAAAAAAAGAATCATCTGGGACAAAATTTTGGCAGGGTAATTCAGTTCTGTACATGTGAAGATCACAACTAGCATTCCATGTATACCTGTGCTGGGTGTGTTAGTGGGGACTCTCATGCAACAAGTTGCAAAAATCTTGGGCATAGAGGAAACTGACTCAATGGTCAATGACTACAGATCACGAGATCAAGGACAGATCCATTCTGGATAGTGGCTTTTGTGCCCTTCCCTATTCTCTGAGCTGTGTCTCAGTCAGAGGCTGCAAAGGAGGATAATGCATATGAAATTGGAAAGGACCTCAGGGGCAATGTAGCTCAAACCCATCATAATCCAGATGAGGAAATGAGGTCCAGGCAAGTTTTATGATTTGCTTAAACTTACTTAGGTAATAAATATCAGAGGTGGAATTTGAACTCATGTAGAGAGTCACCAAAGACAAACTTGAAAACAAAAAAAAACAATTTTACCTTGCACAGGTACTGATTTTTTGTTCATGGTTTGGATATGTAAGCTTCCCCAAATACAGCAACATATGAAAAATTATATCTATATATTTATCTACCTATCTATTGTAACAACTTAGTATAATACCCTATGTGTGTGTTAGTCACGTTCTAAGTGTACCTTGTAGACATTAAATCACTAGGATTGTGTAATGCTAATGTGGTATTTGTACATTAAACAAAGTCCTGGAATAAATATTTGATTAATTGCCAGTAAATGACTCACTATATCCTTAGAAAAATTGGTTTACTCTCCCTCAGAGAGGCTAGGAAGCATGACCCCACTTCCTATGCGTGAACATACTTCAGAAGTCTGTACAGGGCCCTTCTAGCCCTTTTCTACTCTATCTCTGGGTGACCTCATCAGCATCTATGGTCTCAACTGCTACTTCTAATTCAGATAATTTCCAGATCTGTGTATCTAGCCCTAGCCTTGTTCCTGAGCTCTAGTCCCACACCACCAGTTTCTAACTGGACGCTTCTAGTAAGGTCCGTGTTATCTTTGTTCAGTTATTTCAGTCTTGTCTGACTCTTAGTGACCCTACTTGGTGTTTTCTTGGCAAAATTACTGGAGCGGTTTGCCATTTTCTTCTCCAGCTCATTTTACACATTCAGAACTGAGGCAAACAGGGTCAGGTGTCTTGCCCAAGGTCACAAAGCTAGTGTGAGGCCAGATTTGAACTTGGGAAAATGAGTCTTCCTGACTCCAGGCCTGGTGCCCTTACCGCTGTGCCATCTAGAGGCTCCAGAAGTCCCATAAATATCTCAAATGCAAAATATTCCAAGTAGAATTTGTTATCTTTTCTCCAAGACTCACTTTCAGTTCTAATTTCCTTTTATATGTTAAGAGTAACACCATCCTTCTAGTTACCAAAGTTCAAAACCTTAGAGTCATCTTCAAATCCTTATTTTTCTTCACCTTTGACATTCGGTTGTGAAATTTTGATTCAATTTCTGTAATATGTCTTCCATCACGTGTTCTACCTGTCTCCTTCTCTGGACTCTGTAGTCTGCTATCCTAAACCTCATTTCCTCTTTCTAATTCATTTGCAACCAAACTGATATTCTTAAAGCACAGATCCAATCATGGCTCTCCCTTGCTCTCTTAATTCCATAGACTCTCTCTTGCCTCCCGCATCTGACCTCTGCTTGACCTATAAAACCCTTGATGATCAGGGCTCCAACTCAAGTGTCAAAGCTTACTTCATATTACTTATCTTTTCTTCCTTTAAGTATGTTTTTTTTTTTGCAAATTCACTTATTTAGTATTCCCTGTGCACAATAGTCCCTTATGCCTGTGTCTTTGCAGAAGTTGTCACTTAAGCCTAGAATTCTTTCCTTCCCCATGTCTGCCACTTCAAATCCTTAGCATCCTTTAGAGTTCAGCCCAAGTGCCACCTCCTAAAAGTCTCTTAAACTAATTACTAGTGTTCTCCTCCCAGCCCCAAGAAAAGCACATATTTTTGTCTCTATATTTTTATTTACTTACATGTGTAGTTTCTTCCCACAGAATCAGCTCCTTGAAATACAGCAAGAAAATATAAACTTAAATATCATCTTAAACTGGAAAGTCACTTCAGAACATACAGATTTTGGCAGTCGTGTGATACTACTTTGGATATGTTATTTTTCCCCTCTAGGCATGTAAGCAGTCTTCATATGTGTGATATTCCCAGTCTGCAGATTAAGAAACTGATATAAAAGGTGATAGAAAAACTTCCCCAAAATCAAAGTGACAGTAACATTTTTCAACTATGTGCTCTATTCATTTGTCTATAATTTCTTGTACAATTTTGAGTTATTATTTATTACATATGAATGACTCAGAGTGAAGAAATAAAGTACCCAAAGGAATATTATATTAAGAAGTAGAGGTCTACTTTCTACTTTTATTGACTAGCCCATTTACCTTTCACTATCCATAAATTGCCAATACTTTTCTTTTAGGTCAGTAATATTTTTATGCCTCAAATATATGATAGCAATATGGATATAAGGATTTACCTATTTTGGATAAACATTTAATCCATGAAATAATTATCTAACAGCCCTTCATAGATAGTATTTTATCTATCCTTCAGTTTAATAAGATTCAATTATCTCACAGAGGTGGTATGAAGCTTAGTTTATATTGACCAAGATTTTAAATTTTCAAAATAAAAAAAAGCTCAACCTTTATTATTATTTTTTTTAAAATATTCAAAGGAGCAGGTTTTTAAATTATGATTTAAGTTTTTTTCCCTCCAATTTGATGGTATTCTGACCTATTTAAATGTTTGAAATATCCTTGGACTCTAACATGCATCCTTTTGGAAATAAAATGAAAATATTATTTTGGACAAGAATAAAGTACTAAGATAGTTTCACAGTGAGTATTTGCTGGAGGACCTTGCTGTGCAGAGTTAGATCCTGCACCTCCCTGGGCAGCATTTATTAGGCTCACACTGAGAAAGGAGCTGACTCTTGCTGCTAAACTGAAGGCTGAAGATATCAACGTTAGGCTTTCCTGCAGTCACAGTTAGTGTAGTGGCTGAGAAATGGGATTTTGGTCTTAGGAACGCATGACTCAGGTTTCTAATAGAATGTGACATAGTTTGGTGTATGTGCCTGATAGAATTTCATGCTCTAACCAGACTGCCTTCATTTGTTTCATTATGTAAGTATTGAAGGTCTTGAGGCAGAAAATTCAAAGTGGAAGGCTCTGCAAGTTTTTGTCTTAAGAGAAATTCTTATGTCAGAATGATTTAGATCTTCATTGTTTCTTAGCCTTCTTACTTTATTTTTTAATAATAATAGCTTATAAGGATAGTAGTGACCCTTTGTAAATAAGAAACTGATTTTTTGGGGATGAACTCAAATATGTTAGAACAGCATGTATGTGGATGAATTAATAATTTAAAACCTTGGAAGTACATAAGCATTATGTCTCAAGGAGGGGGAAAAACAACAACAGCAATAACCAAACCAAAAAAAATGGCTGTCAAACCACTCTTTATGGCACTCACATCTTTAATAAAGACATAATCATAGTTACTGAAGGTTTGATATTCCTTTTCAAATGCCTTGAAAAGGAAACATAAGGCCAAGAGTTGGCAATACATTGGGACTACTCTACCATGTTCCCTTTTAAAAATTCCTTTCCTTGAACTACACCTAGTCTTTTTCACTTTTTTTAATTCCCCAAGGATGACAATGACCATTTCAGTTAATTACAACTGATGTGTTTTTCCCCATCTAAAATGGAGGCTCTGGGCTCTTTAGTATCCCTCTGAGAGCACTATAAATGAAAAGAAGATACTGTGTGTGTCTGCAACTATCACAGAGAAAGTGGATTTGCTTTCAATAGGGACAGGAGCCTTCCCCCTCACCCCCTTTTTTTTTTAAACATGTTTAACTCTTGAAGCAGCTTCTTATGGATGGATGATTAGAATAAACATGTATTAAGTGATGCTACATGTCAGGCATGTGTTAACCATTTAAAAAATATCTCATTTGATTTTATAGTTTTGAAATAAGGCACTGAATCAATTGTCATAGGTGACAGATTTCATTTTTTCTCTTCAACTAGTAAGAATAGTACTAAATACAGCCATCTTTTACTACAGAATAAAATATTTTAAAATCAATGGCAATATTTGTTAATTTCATTCTTTTAAAAAATCCATCTCAATGGTTATTTTAAAGGGACTCTAATATGTATAAATTCAGTTGTGCTCCCTGAAACAGAAAGCTCTTATCCTCAAGTGAATATAAGCTTTTAATGCATTCTTCCTGGCTAGACTGAGTTATTCTTCAGTCATTTCAGGATTATTCCTTTCTGAATTAATTTAGGAGCTACTGCTTAACACTGAGGTAGAAGAGAGATGACATTTATACAGTTTGATTTTAGAGGATTTGATTACCAAAACTATATTTCTACAAAAATCACAACAGTAAGGTTTACAATAATCTTAGTTTTGCCTTAATCTCTATCTCTTTTGTTTATGTTTTAGGGAACAGCCTCTAAAAGCTGGAAAATGAAAGCTCCAATTCCACACTTGATTCTCTTATATGCCACATTCACTCAGAGCTTGAAGGTTGTGACCAAAAGAGGTTCAGGTAAGTCAGTTTGTATTACCCCCACATCACTGGGAGCATTCCTTGGAGTCATATAATAGTCATATTGTTGGTGATGATGGCAATGATGATATTCTTGTACATGAGACCTTTTTCTGAGGACATGAATTAAAGACTAAAATTCCTTCTTGTGAAGTTCGTTTCTAATTCAGGAAAAATTCTTTAAAAGTAGAATGAGATACTTGGAGCTCAGGGCAAGACAAATCATCAATATGTCAATGTGGTTTCATTGGAATACATTAGTATTAAAGAAGAATTTTTTATGAATGATGTTTATTCTGGTATTTTTTTTATCTTTGAAAATGATCCCTGTACACGATATGTGTTTTTTTTTAGCATTTGTATATGATATAATTGTATTTGGGGTATAAAATATTCATATTTTTTAAAAAATCTATCTTCAATTTTGAAAATATTATTTTAAATATCAACACTTTATGGGAAAGATTTTTTTTTAGTCTTCAGCTAATTTATGTGAATTAAGAATTAGAATAAGAACTAAGGCTATTAACAACAAATATCATTGGAAATAACATATAATTTAGTAAGTAGCTAGTCATAAGTTAATGAAAAAGAAAGTATTAAAAGGTTTGACATTTAATGTAAAATTTTAAAATTTAATGAAATATTTAGGGAAATGTTCCCTTAGTGATGAATGGATTGATTACTACACAATGACTATGTACTACCATATTGGTTTTAGTGAAAGAATCAGAAACCATAGCAATTTTAAATTTAAAAAAACATACAAGTAGATGATCATTCTGAGTTAGGAATCTGTGAGGGGCCAAACTGGTGATTGAGCAACTGTTATATTATGTTGTAAAGTTGTACTTCCTTTTATATTTCCTGGAAGCACTCCACATAATTATGTTTACTATCTTGATGTGTATGGTAGGGTACAGAGTGGCTTTTTAACTGGAGGAGAAAATTACTGGGCTTCTAAAAAGTATGAGGAAATTTCTAAAACTTTTTGTAATTTTGATTTAATCTATATTTGTAGGAGTGTCTTAAGTTTCTTTTTATGAGAAATTTATCAAAATGAAATACCTCATTCTAAATAGAAATGTGACTGGTGTATTTTACAGGCTGCTTGGATATATGTATGGAAGAGTGTTTCAATACTACTTAATTTTCTGAATTTCAATTTAGTATTCTGTTGACATACTTGAGGATATGTAGAATTTTCAATAAAAAAGCCAAGACATTAATGTCCTAATGAAAACCAAGTGTCCAGGGGTGACTTATCATTTAACATCAGCTTGGATTTTTCAAAGTTATCATTGATTTGTGTGGCATTTTAGGCTAAGACTGAGAAACGTATGGCTAGAGCTTATTAAAGGAAACCATAGCACAGTGGAAGAGTATTGGATTTGGATTGGAAGAACCTGCATCAGAATTCTGTTTCTGTCATCTTCTTTCTTTTGTGACCGATGGCCTATATGGTTCCTTCCAGCTCTCAGTCTTTAATATTTTAACTAGAAATGTGGAGAAATTTACTTTAGCTATGTGTTTCTCATGTATAGACCTTGAAGTGCTCAATGACCTATTAGAAATTTGAATTTTACATTAACTATGAGGACAAGATTATAGGACAGTTGCTAAATAATGCCCTGGGTCTGATGGAAGTTTCCCAGCCTTGTTTTCTCTAATATAAGGAAATGTGTAACATAGACATAACTAATACTCTATGAAGTTAATTATGATAAATGAAAACTATTAGATAAAATGCATGGATATATTTCCAATTTTTTTTGCACTTCTTTCAGTTTGATTTTGTGGTTTGGACTGGACACACCATCACCAATAATCTTGGGTTTCTCTCTCCTGTATCCATTTGTCCTTCTTCCTGATATACTTTGTCTTTAGAAAAGTAGCTGGATAGTTGAGTAGAAGAGAATCATGACTGATATCTGTAGGTGAAGAGGCAGAGGACTGCTTTTGGAAAGAATGACAATATCCTTACTTTAAAAGAATAATCATGCGACACCTAGGTTGCTCAGTGGATAGAGCACCGTACCTGGAATCAGGAGGACATGAATTCAAATCTGGCCTCTGACCAGACACTCGACACTTACTACCTGTGTTACCCTGGGCAAGTTGCTTAACCCCAATTGCCTCACTAAACAAGAGAGAGAGAGAGAGAGAGAGAGAGAGAGAGAGAGAAGAGAGAGAGAGAGAGAGAGAGAGAATAATTATGCAATATTACTATGTCCAACACGTAAAAATCAGTGATACCTAAGCTACAGAACACACACACACACACACACACACACACACATGAAACCAAACAAAACAAAATAAGAATACCTTACCAGTAACCATCAAATGAAAACTACCACCAACAACAATAGAAACAACTCTTTTTGATGTATAGTATTGCTTGTCAGTTCTGAAGGCTGTAAAATGATTGATTATCTCACTTTCCATCCCAACATTTGGTACAGTCTTTTAAGTTTAACCTTATATTTCTACTCATTCTAGAATCAAATAATGAAATATAATTCAAAACTCCATGGTATTTATTAATTATGTCTGTTAATAAGAATATGGTATTTTTTCTTATGATTATTTGAATCTTCATCTTAAAATTTGGTAACAAATATTTTAAATGTGATGCAGTGTACCTTGTAAGTTTGCACCAATTAAAAGTTTGTTGACTTGATGATTTCATAACAATATTCCTAGAAGAATAAGGGTTTTACTTTAGATTTTTAACATATGGTCACTTCATAGACAATAAGAATTAGATATTTGTTATTCATTAACAGTTCTAATTTGAAACAATAGGACATCTCTGTACACATGTTGGCAATGCATTTCTTTTTGTCATATTGGATTACTCCCCCGTTGCTATTAATTTAAGAAACAAATTAGAAATGTAATAGACCAGTTATAGCTTTTATGGTCTTCTTGGTGGAGGTATTAAGGGGAAAAAAACTTCATGAACTTTTCCAAAACTCTTCAGAAGTGGATATGTTTAAGAAATATTTGATGATTACAGCAGGTATTACTGTTTTTGAGTTGTATATGGCATTAGAAATATAACCTTTGACATTGCCCATGGAAAGATTTTCAGTCTTCATTACAGAATAGATTTTGTCATGGGCTAATTGTAGCTTTTGCCTTTTGGGTTTTTATGAGAAGCACTTATAAGAAAAGTCAAAGATGATCCACAAGTGTGGAAAGTAGACAAATAATTACTTTTAGAGTGGTCTGATAGAAGCTGATATAAAGAAAATCCATATTTAGTAAATATGCATATCTTTAAAAATTATTGTAGATGCACACATCTTTAAAATTTCTTATAGCATTAAAGTTTCTTCTTAAAAATACTGAACAAATTTCTTTTTATATCATCTTCACTTCTGAATATATTCTTCTCCATCCTCAACTCAGTCAAGTAGTCAATAAGTATTTATTAAACAGCCCTGTGAACATGCAAAAAAGAAAAAGACATTCACTGCTCTCAAGGAGCTTATAATCTAATATGGGAGTCAACATGGATACAACTATGTACAAACAAGATACATACAGGATAAACTGGAAATAATCAATAGAGAGAAGGCATTAGCATTAATGAAGATGGGGAAAGTCTTCTTGAAAAAGATAGGATTTTTGCTGAGGCTTGATGGAAACTCTGTAATCAAAGAAGCAGGGGTGAGGGAAAGAAATTGCAAGCCCAGGGGTGGTGGTGTGTGATATACAGAGTTGGGAGGGAGTTGGAATGTCCTGTGTGAGAAACAGCAAGTGCCATTAAATTGCAGAATATAGGATTTAAGTGAAAGAAAACTGGAAAGGTAGAAGGGGAACAGATTATGAAGGATATAGGATGCAAAATGGAGGGTTTTGTATTTAATACTGAAGACAGGACTTAGAATTGATTAAATAGGAGTGGGGTGGGGTGGGAGGGTGGTTGTGTGTTAGAAGGTCATTTCTGCACATTGGGATTAAATTGACAGCTGAATTGAAGACAGACTAAAGTGGGAAGAGACTTAAGGCAGAGAAGCCAACCAGATGGATATTGCAATAGTCCAAGTATGAGATTATGAGGGCTTGCTTCATGGTGGTAGCAGAGTCAAAGGAGAAAAGGGGGCATTTATGAGAGATATTATGATGGGAAAATCAGCAAGACTTGGGAACAGTTTGAATATAGGGGGCTGAAAAAGAGGGAGGAATTGAGGTTGAAACCTAAGTTGTGAGTCTGAGCCCTTGGCCTGGGATGGTATTCCACATGATAGTAATAGGGAAGTACAGAAGAGGGGAAGGTTTAGAAGGGGAAATAATGAATTCAGTTTTGGACATATTGGATTTAAGATGTCTGTAGGATATCCAGTTCAAGATGTCTAATGGGTATTTGAAGATAGATGACTGGAGGTCAGAAGAAACATTAGAGCTGGTTGAGTAGATTAGAGAATCATCAGCATATAGATGATAATTGAAACTATGGGAACTGATGGGAACACCTAGAGAAATAGTATAGAGAAGGAAGAAAAGAAGGCTCAGGACAAATCCCTGGGGGAAACCCATAATTAGCAGGTATGCCCTAGAGGAAGATGCAACAAAGGAGAAGAAATGTTCAGAGAGGTAGGAAGAACCTGGATAGAACAAGTGTCATAGAAGTCTGAAGAAAAGAGAATATCAAGGAAAAGAACAATAGTGTTATCAATATTATCAAAGGTTGCATAGAGGCCAAGGAGGATATGGATTAAGAAAAAAAAATTAGGTTTGGCAATTAAGAGATCATTAGAAACTTTGAAGGGAAGAGTTTCCATTGAATGATGAAGTCAGAAACCAGATTGTAGGGAGTTAAGAAGAGAGTGATAGGAAATGGAGACATCAATTACATAGACAGCATTTTCAAGAAATTATTAAGCCACAAAAGGGAGGGGATAGAGGATGATGGCTATAAGGGATGGATGGTTCAAATGAGGGCATTTGAGGATGGCGGTGGGGAGATATGGATATGTTTGTAGGTAATA